TATAGGATTTCAAACGTTTCATTTGAACTACTTAGAAGTAGTTTGAACAGACTTCTAACAGAATTAAAATAAAAGCAACAAATAAAGAAATTTCAGCAATATGTCTTCTCAAAATCACCTCATAAAAGCCCTTCTGATATTCATTCAAAAAGGTAGAAGCTATTATTGTCCAAGAAGCTCCAAATTTTTCCTGTAAAATAAGCAGGGAAAGGTCAAAATCAGACATCGCAAAAGATATTACAAGGACAGAAGGCAGGCAGGATTATGAAATTCTGTACCTGTAAAAGCTCTTGTCCAATATAAGGCTGGGTCAGACGGTTGAAGTCCCATAATCCTTCTGACTCGAGCTCTTCCTGCAAGGAAACTAGTTAGTGCATTTAATACGAGAATTCGAAGAATTGTACGTAGTTTCTGCACAAGCAAAGTATTAGATACCTGACTAATAGGAATAGAAGGTCGAAATTTTCCACAGAGGCCAGTCATTGCATGATCTGGAAGCTCCCATATTCTGAAGAATCCCAATATGTGATCAATCCTATAAGCTGTAAAGTACTTTCCCATCTGTAAAGTAACAACATTGATATAGTTTAAAATAAACACCAGAAAATTAAAGTACCAGCGTTGAGAAGGAAAAAACAGAACTTAGTAGTAAGCTTTAGGTACCTGTGTTAGACGAGCACGCCACCACCCATAGTTGTCTTTTGACATTTCTTCCCAATTATAAGTGGGGAATCCCCAATTCTGGCCATTTTTATCAAAATAGTCAGGGGGTGCCCCAGTTGAGGTGTTCATGCGAAACAAATTTGGGTAGACCCAGGTATCCACACTATTCCTATCAACACCAATGGGCAGGTCACCTTTCAGCACTACACCTTTCTTTCGTGCGTATTCCGCAGCTTCTGATAACTGATATGAAAACCCCAAATGTATGATAGCAGCTTTCTTATACAAGAGAGATAATATTCATAGCGGAGTAGCAAAATGCATAAAGCTTGTCTTTACTTACTTGTAGATGCAAATGGAACTGGATGTAGTAATGAAAACTAACAACTTCATAATGCAAGCTTTCTTTTGAGACGAGTTTCTCAAGCTGCAGAGACAGGAAATACATTGTAAGTCCGAAAGTATCAGGGAGATTATGAGGCTACCTGAAGTGAATTGTTTCTATGCTTTACCTTCTCTTTTGAAAATTCAGAAAACCGGCCCCATTGGCTGCGGTCAGATGTTTCAAAGAAGTCCCGCAGAAAACAGAAAGCAGCATAGGGTTTCAACCATTCCTACACTCGATAATAAGCGACCGACGCAAAAACATAATTAAGATCATCATATTCCAGGCAATTTGTAGGGGGCAAAACATATTATTCGTGTTATGCTTACAAGCTAAAAGCTGCATGAAAAGGATCTCAAGATTGTTTTCTTTTTTTCTTCTCATTTCTTTTCCTCCAGCCATTAAGAGTAAAACTGCCAAAACAAATGTCTCCAACCTAAAGTTTTGAATCACAAATGTAATAAAATTAAACCCTTACAAACCTGATTTTCAGAAAAGAACTCCAGGAATGATTTTGAATTTAGTATGCTCTCCTTCTCACGAGTGAAAATTTTCTTGGCAATAGAAAGTTTTGTAGCCATGGCAGCCTCATAATCTACATCCTGCAATAATCATAGGTCAGGCAAAAAGATAAAGAAAACTATCAGATTTATGAATACATATGCCCTTCATGATGGAACTGTTTGAACTTGAAGAGGATGTTCAACAAATTCACACGTAAGAGGCTATAGACAAAGGAATAGCATGCTGTAATCATGGTGATAGATTGTTAGTGGTGAAGTAACACAGTCACAGCATTACTAGTATGGTAGCAGTCGCAGTCTAGGAGGTTTAAGAGAGCAATTATGTGTTACATAAAAAAGAGCCTGTATAGTAGCTGCAATTAAGATGAAAATGCTTTCCTAGTCTAGGAGATTTAAGAGAGCAATTATGTGTTACATCAAAAGGAGCCTGTATAGCATCTGCAATTAAGATGAAAATACTTTCCTGGAATGCCTTTGTCCCTGACAAACTGCGAAAGCAGATTAAGAAACAAGGAATTGTGTGAATACCTTTTTATCCAACTGAACTCTTGCCTCCCTGATCTCTTGCTGCAAATGAGTAGAAATATAGTTACCCATAAAATGGCATTTTAGCTGTTCAGCTCATCCAACAAAAATGCTGTTGTTTTATATACAGACACAAAAATAATAACGACTAAAATGACACCTTGATATCTTCTTGAATATTTTCTGAAATTGCCTCTACCCTTAGGTATAATGGGTGCAGTGCAAAAACTGAGAGCGAGCTGCATAGCCATCAAGCAAGAAAATGGAACAGATAGTATCAAATTATTAGTCCTATACATAATAGAGCTTGAAATAATAACAGAAAATGCATTAGCTCACCGAATAGCCACAAGGTTAAAAGGATAAAGCTGGTAGTTCACTACTAAATTGGCCAATTTTATGAACTAGGGCTCGCAAAAATTTCATGCACTCTCTTTTCTTTAAACAGAACAAATCATTCTATTAAGATTATCTTATGGTTTATGCAGTTACAAACCCCATCAGAATGCTTTCAGAAAGAACTTAGGAAATGCATATAGTCCTTTTAAATCGATTTTTCCCTTGCTATTCAACCTGACAAGGGAGTACTCCATCCAAATATGAGACCTGAATTCTTAATTCCCTAATGTAGGATTAAATAGGAATCTCTGTAGCATTATTCTTTTTCTAGTCAGCTTAGGTTGTAGGTGGAGGTACATTTAGTATGATGCTATAGGGAATAGGAGTACAGGTATACGGTCAAACTGTTTATTCCGGGTTTTGCTATCGCTGACAATATACTTCTTAGATTTAGAACTTGAACTGTATTTATGTGGCTGAAAGTTTGCACTTTTACTAATGAACGGTCAATGTAATTTTGACCATAATCCTGGTAGTAACTTGTTTCAGATCTCTGAGGATTTAGCAGTTTCTGTTCAATCTCTTAAGTAGAGATCACACAACTATTGTGTTAGTTTACAGCATGTATATAGTGTAGTATTGTCCCACATTGGTAGAAGAATAGTATGTCCTTGTATAGTATAGCTATAAATAAGGACCTCTTGTATTGTATTATTCATCTAATATCAATAACATATTTTCTCTCGTGCCTTCTCACATGGTATCAGAGCAATTGTGAGAGACTTATCGCTGTGCATAAATTCTAGCGATTCCGGGAAAGAGAAATCAGTACTTTTTTAAGGCTGTTTTCTATCTGCTTCATTTCTGTCAGTGTTGTGCAAAATCCAACACTACCACAAGAGTCGTCACTGTCCGGCGACCAAACCCCAGTGAACAACTCCGGCAGAAGCCTCCTCACGCGCCTCCACGCGCCACCAGAAGCTCACGCGCGTGAGCTCACGCGCCGGCGCGTACGACCACTTCCGGCCATTTTTTGAAAATCTTCCTTCAGAACAGTTGGGTCGCCTGGTAATTCCGATCCTACCCCTACTGTTTTCATTTCATTCCGACAACTTTGAGTTTTTTCCGGCAGCTACAGTACTATTCCGACAGCTACAGTACTATTCCGACAGCTACAGTAGATTCCGGCAGCTACAATATTTCAGTATTCTGTTTCTGTGTTTCCGTACACTGTTTCAGTGGATTACAGTTGATTCTTTCTCCTATTTGGTAATAATTTGCAACAATGTCTTTGGGATTTGATGCTTTTGGGTCTAGAAACATGAGTTCTGGAAGCTCTAGTGCTATTATTACCTCGGAACCTTTAATGGGAGGTTCAAACTACTTAGCTTGGGCTTCATCTGTCGAGTTATGGTGTAGAGGTCAAGGTGTTCAAGATCATCTAATCAAACAGTCTAGCGATGGAGATGAAAAGGCAATAGCACTTTGGGCAAAAATCGATGCTCAGTTATGTAGCATCTTGTGGCGATCTATTGATTCCAAGTTGATGCCCTTGTTTCGTCCATTCCAGACATGTTATTTGGTTTGGGCAAAGGCACGCACCTTATACACTAATGACATATCTCGCTTCTATGATGTGATATCACGGATGACAAACTTAAAGAAGCAGGAATTGGATATGTCTACTTACTTGGGTCAAGTACAGGCAGTCATGGAGGAATTTGAGAAGTTGATGCCAGTTTCTGCTAGTGTGGAAAAACAACAAAAGCAGCGACAAAAGATGTTTCTCGTTCTTACTCTCGCTGGACTTCCTAATGATGTTGATTTAGTACGCGACCAGATTTTGGCTAGTCCATATGTCCCGACAGTTGATGAATTATTCTCTCGATTACTCCGCCTTGCTGCAGCACCAAGTCCACCAGTGATCTCATCACAGATACTTGATTCCTCTGTTCTTGCATCCAAGACAATGGATGCTCGGGCATCTCAAACTATGGAGCATAGACGAGGAGGAGGTCGTTTTGGAAGATCTAGACCCAAGTGTTCTTATTGTAACAAACTTGGACACACTCGTGAAATGTGCTATTCGTTACATGGTCGTCCACCCAAAAATGCTTGCATTGCTCAGACCGAGACTCCAGATAACCAAGGATTTTTTTTATCTAAAGAAGAATATAATGAGCTCCTTCAGTATCGAGCAAGTAAGCAGACATCTCCACAAGTAGCCTCAATTGCTCAGACTGATACTTTTGTTACTGGTAATTCTTTTGCTTGTGTTTCCCAGTGTAGCACTCTTTGCCCATGGGTCATGGACTCAGGCGCTTCTGATCACATCTCTGGTAATATATCAATTTTGTCAAATATTGTATATTCACAGTCTCTTCCCACTGTTACTTTAGCCAATGGATGTCAAACTAAGGCAAAAGGAGTTGGACAAGCTAATCCCTTGTCTTCTATCACCCTAGATTCCGTTCTTTATGTCCCTGGCTGTCCTTTTAGTCTTGCATCTGTTAGCCGTTTGACTCATGCCCTCCATTGTGGTATAAGGAACAGTGCTTCCTATGGCCGAGCCCCTTCCATCTCTTCTTCTTCCTAATTTTCCACCACACCCATCAAGAGCCAAGCTCCCCGCGTCCAAACCCCAGTAAATTTCTCCGGCAACTGAGCTCTCACGCGCCCCCACGCGCCGCCAACTCGCCTGTCTTTCCGGCGAGATTTTAGCCACGCGCCGGCTCGTGTGTTTTTTCCGGCGACTTTTCAAATTGTTTTCTTCAGAAAACCTCTTCTCGAGGCATTTCCGAGCCATCCCGTGCCAGTTTCACCAAATTCCGACGACTTTTTCTTTTTCCGGCCTTTAAACCCCAGTTTCTGACGATTGTTTCCTTTGTTCAGTACGAGAAAACCTTCCTCCCTTCATATATACTGTTTTCACCCACTGTGAATACGGTTATCCCGACTATTGAGGTTTTTTTCCGGCCAGTTTTTCCGGGACAGCCGCAATTAGAATATGATGGATTGTACAGAGAGAAGCTCTTTTTTCTCTCTAGAATCTAGAAAACTGGAAAACATGTCTTTTATGAAAGCTGTCTCTTGGCCAGCCCTAGAACTTGGGGGAAGATGCCATCGAAAGCTGACGTAGGACAGGAGCCACACTTCTCTCTGTCCGAGGAGCACACTCTCAGGCGCAAGGGTTTCTTGGAATCTAGTCTCATTGGGTCTTTATCCAAATGAGTTGGTTCCCCGGAGGCTGTTAGGAACTGGGCAGCAGAGGCATGGAACATCAAGGACGGGCTGAAAATATCGCAATTGGGGGACACTCAATACCTCTTTCGTTTTGTTGACAAGTCTCAAGCTTCGGAAATTCTTGTCAAAGAAACAGGTGGTTCGATGGGAACTTTTTAAATCTAGATAGATGGGTGGAGCATGATGGGTGTCTTGACCCTCGCTTCACTGGCGAAACATTGGTAGTCAACATGGTGGGTCTCCCGGTGCATCTTTGGTGTCTTGACCTATTCAAGAAGATAGGGGAAATCTGTGGGGGGTTTATTGATGTCACTTGCAGTTTACACGATCTCTCGCGAGTGAGGATTGTGGTGAGGAAAGGGGGCAGAATCCCTGTCTCCACTGTGGTGGAAGATGGCTACTTGAGTTATAGGGTTTGGTTGAGCCCTGAATTTCGCCCTATCTTTATGCATGCGATAGCGACGGAAGAAAAGGGAAGGTCAGATATAAGGGAGGGGAGGGGAAATCTGTCACTGAGGGGAGGGGGGGTTTCACCGGATCACTGGATTAAGCCGGAATCAAACGTTAGATCGAGAAGAGACGGGAAGTTTGAAATCGGGGGAGGAAGACAAAATTTTAACAGGAGGAGAAGACGTGAATGGGTCAGTGAGGCGGACTGGAAAGGCGGAATGGGACGATCCTCTTCTACTTATCATAGGGTCGGGTATGTTTTCAGCAAGTATAGGCCTGGGCCTCCTCACATGGGCCCAGCAACTTTCCCCAATTCCATTAGAATTGATCATAAAGGGCCCAGTTTATCTAAAGCTGCGCATGATAAGGCTCCTAAGCATATGGGAACAGTCGTTCCTCCTTCCTCTGGCCAAG